AAGGGCATGATTGTTCTGTGCCTGAATGCAGTCGTCGATGTAGGCTTCGAACACTGTCCTCTTGCGATGAAAAAAATTTGGTGATAGGCTTCATTACCCGTGTAAACAGCCACGGGGCCGAAGAAATTCCAAACCGGAGAACACGCCATTGATAGTGGATGTCCTCCAAGATAAACCGAAGGAATTTGCAATGCGCCGGGAATATGTGGAGGTAGGCATCCTGAAGATCCAAACTGACCATGTAGTCTCCCGGCTTGATAATTGTCTTGAGGAGTGCCACCGATATCATGCGAAAATGAGGCGGGGGCTGCAGAAATTTCTCGTTGAAAGTCTTCATGTTGAAGATTAATCTCAGTTTGTCCAAATCCTTCTTGGGCACCAGAAAGATTGGAGAATAGATCCCTGGATTGGTCGGGGCCTGACCCAGGGATTCGATCGCAAGTTTCTTGAGTAAAGTGTCTATCATTGATCGCAGAACAGCCGATTGTTGTTTGGGATACGTTCTGCGATCCGGAAGTATTGTGAGCGGAGGTTTCCCGATGACTGGTAACTGGAATCCCTTGGTTAACATGGACAGGATGTAAGGGTCTCCCAAAATTGTCCAATTGGGAGCATAGGTCCCAAGTCGGCCTCCTACTGGGGAAATCTGAATGGGTACGACTGGAGGTGGAAGTTCCCAGTCGCCTTTCAATGTCAACAAGTCATTGCCTATCACGTCGCTGTGAGGTGGGCTGGTCGGTAGTGGAAGTTGATTGTGGAGCAGTGGTAGTTCTTGGTTGGCGACTCAATCGTCCTCTTCCGTAGGAACCCCTCCAACAAAAAGAAGCCGTAGAACCCGAGCGAAGGTCCGGATTAGGAGGGACATAGTGAGCTGGTGGTTGCTGTCTCATTGATTGCTCCACTTGTAGTTGCTTGAACCTCAACAATTCGACCGAGACTTGTAGATGGGCATCCTTCCCTACTCTTTCGGCTGCATCCCTAATCTCCCCGTTGAACAGAGAATTGCCCGACCAGGGTGGACGAAACAGGTCCGTTCTGAATCTGTCTTCCCAGGATGATAATTGTAACGGTCCTCTACGCCTCATAGCCGTGACATATGAGAAGAAATGAGCCAAGAGATCTAGGATGGTTTGGAATTGTTCCTGCAATAACACCATAGCCGCTCGGATGTATGCTTGCTGATGGGTTGTAGCATGTGCGACAGACATGGCCACCGCTTCAGTAGTTGTCAACATTAAGTTCAATGGAGCCATAATCTTACTTATGGACGCATCTAAATGTATCAGTTCACAGTCTTCGACCAGAAAGGGCGAATAAGCTCTCTGTTTCGTCCCCAACAGCGTGATATCATCATCTACTGGAGGAGAGGCAATCATAGATGACAATCCATGTACATGAGCCGATGCCAAGTTGAAGCGAGACGCAGCAAAACCATCTTTAATCTTCCTCAAACTAGCAAAAGCCTCATCCAGGGGCGCAGTCAGCTGAGTGATGCACGGTCGGGGAGGGAACATGATAGAACCAAAGTCTCCAGTTTTCATATCAAAACTGGATAAAATGTCATTCTTCGAAGTACTACGCTGTAACTTGAGGTTATCAGCAATCCAGATAAGTAGCTGAGGTGAGTCAACAGCATCCACACTCACATCCGAAGGAGACATACTTCCTGAAGACATAGATGGTGTTGTTGAACGTAGAATCTCTTGCACAGGCACCGCTGGCGTAGTCGAAATCCCTGATGACTGAGTAACAGGAGATGACACTGGCTCCTGATGCTGTATAGCTGATGCTACCGCCAACACAAAGGCATCAAAGTCCATAGGTTGAGACATTGCCCCCTCAGACACTGGATTCCAGGAAACCGGCAAAACAGATCTCGCCGTCGAAACTGTAGCAGAAGGAACTGATGAAATTGTAGCAGCCCCAGAGTGAAGATGAGGTATGTCACGCAGAGAGGATGAACATACAGCTGATTGAGTCACGTCCACATGAGATGATGGCACTTGTGTGGTAAACGCTGAAACCTGAGGAAGCGTTGAACCATGAACCACTCCAGCAGCTTGAGACCGTACCGCACCAGGAACACCATAAGTAAGCGTTGAGCCAGGTGGCCCATAAGTGAAACTTGCAATAGGAATCCCTGGAGTGAGCGTTGATCCAATAACGCTATGAGTAAGCGCCGAACCAGGACTGCCGTGAGCGAGTGCTGAATTAAAAGCAGCATGATGAAGCGTCGAACTTGTAGGGAGCGTCAAACCGGAAACGCCATGAGCAAACACCGAACCAGGAGGAAGCGCCGAACCCTGAACACCGAGCAAGCGCCGAACCGGGTGGAAGCGCCAAACCAGGATGAAGCGCCGGACGGAGTGAGTGCCACACCAGGAGTCCTAGGAAGGGGTGCCAAACCGTGAATACCATGAGCAAGCGCCGAGCCAAGACCAACATTAGTGAGTGCCAAACCGGGAATCCTGGGAGGAAGCGCCGAACTGGGAGCACCATAAGGAAGCGTTGAACCAGATGCAAGCGTCAAACCAGGACCACTGGGGGGAAACGCAAAACCATGAAGCGCCGAACCCGGAGTAAATACTGAACCCGGAATATCAGGGTTGAGCGCCGAACCAGGAGGAAGCGCCGAACCGGGAAAACAAGGGTTAAGCGCCAAACCAGGAGGAAGCGCCGAACCGGGAATACCAGGGGTAAGCGTCGCACCAGGAGGAAGCGCCGAACTGGTAGTAAGCGCCGAATCCATCCAAAGCGCCACACTGGAAAAAAGCGACGCTCTGAGTAGCCACGTGGGATCCGTGACAAGCGGCGCTCTGCCCGTATATAACTGTCCTAATGAGAGCGTCACTCCCGAGGTAAGCGCTGCTCTGGTTGAAAGCGCCGCACTGCCTGTAACCGTCACCTGTGATGTAATAGTATGAGTAGTCGCCACCTCCGACCCATTAGGGCATTGAGTCACATTTACCAACAAGGATGGTCGTGGTTGTATGTAAGATGTAGACAAAACAACAATATGTGGAGGTGACGAATCTTCCAAAGTAATAGAACTAGACGAAGCGGGTCAGAACAGTTGAAGCACAGAAAATCTTCTTTAGGAGATTTGGATTTAGAACGTATTGCAGATTTTATTCGGCGATCTAATTTAGAACACTTTGGCTCCGATGGACCTTCCAATGGATTCCTCCGATCTCTATCTGCCTTGTGCCTGCTAGCTACCCGACGATACTCTGAGAATGCATCGTCGTCCAGGTTAGCACATAAACTACAACGTTTAGACCAATCGCATCGTTCATGGCAATCCACGCAAGAGTTATGAGGGTCCGCTGCTAAATAGTTACTATTGCATCTATCACAATGTTTGCGTTTCTTTGAAGCGTGACGATTTGCTTTCCCAATAGTAGAAAACACAAACAAAAAACTCTGTTAACCACAATACACGTCCACACAGCGTGGCAACAAGAAAGAGAATGACAAGTAGAGGTGGTCATGTGATCGTTTAGGCGAGCCCCACGCTTTGATGGATGATTGACAGGCATTGATGTCGGGGTGAAGGCAGCGGTCAGGGCGGGTCAGAGGCCAGTTAGATTTGACTCAACTTAGCTGACAGCACGTTTCCCACACATGGTCATAGAAGAGAGAGATGGTGCATACCATGAGATAGGATAAGGTATAAAAAATATATTAAAGCTCTCAAAGGGTTCAAGATTACTTAATGACAAGTGTATTTATAAAAATGACAAACTTGAGATTTGTACTAAATGGGAACTGATATTCAATGATTGTGAATTTGATTGGCACAAAATTTTCAACTTCTATTGACATGTATTGAAAGATGTTAAACTTCTTTATATTCAATACACATTTCTGCAAATAGTTATTTATACTAAAATATAATTATTCAAAATGAACCTGACTGACAATGATTTGTCTACCGTTAGTTTGCAATGATGTTTCCGAGAGCATTTGTTGTGCTTATTAGGACTGTTGTGAAACAATAAAATTCTGGAATGATCTCGAAATCAATTAATAACTATTTACCATGCAAAATAAACATTACAAAATATTTGATTTGGTTTGGTACATTACATAATGATGTATTACTAAATCAAATCATTATCTCTGCCAAAAAACATATCAATTTATGTAAATTTAAAAAATCAATTCAAAAATTCATTAAATATAAAATGGCATCAAAAGAGATATTTTCTGTTCAATACTTTATTTTCAAGGGAAACAATGAAATTGATAAATTCAGTCTTAAGTCTTAAATGGAATTCACTTGTGCCAATATTCAGCAACAAATTATAATTACATCTTTACACCTTTTCTGTGTTTGTTGTTACTGTATACCTTTGACTATGGGAACAAATAAAAAAAATACATAAAAAAACATGGGAATGTTAAGATACAATATGAATACACTTTGTCAAACTGATTTTAAATCATAGCTTTTGTGCAAAGAGTAACAAGAGGGCACAGAAATCTACATCCTTTTCCCTTTCAATGGTGCATAAAATCACCAGAAGTGTAAACATAAGAGAACATACCATTAATCCTAAAGCATATGAGCACAAGTTACATAATAATGACTACACCAAAATCTTTCACTAACTCCCTACTCTTAAAGCTTTCAATACCTTGTAATGCCATGAATTAGAAATGGTACCCTGGTACTTTTCAGTGACTGAGTTTTGCATTTGACAGCAAAGACTCAAGTCATAAATTCATAATAATAATCATCATAATAATGTAGCATTCATCAGTCCTTTAATGTTTGTATGATGCTGTACCTTTCTTTTTAATTGACTCTGCATTATAATTACCATCCCAGACTACTCCAGCTGTACTATAAACTAGTTTTCCAAGACTGAATAGCTCCTGGTCACCTGACTCAACATAGGGATTTTTTCCTGGGGATCTATTTTCACCTATATAAATACAGAACTGTTGTATGACATGGGATAACAGATGTGCCCACTTGCCTAATTAAACAGTGCCCCTGCATACAGTTCAGATTGTTCCTCTTCACAGCAAGAATAGGCATCAACTGAATTCCAAGCTTTTCCTCAACAAACTGTTGATCTGGACTGGGGGGCAACCCAACATGGGATGGTATGGTGAACAAACTGTAAACATATGAAGTTATTTATACACACAAACATTTGTTTTTAATGCCATAATATAAATAATAACTGCATCCATGTGTTGATGTTTTCTGAGTAACCATGAAGGGATGCACAAAATAGACACAGATGTTGAGATTTAACTTAAAAATGCCTTTTTCACAATTGAGGTTAAAATGTAACATCAAAACAGAAAAGTCTAACTACAGTATATAACATTGCCAAAAAGGAGCATACCTGTTAAGGTGTCATGACAGAAAGATGTGAACTGTCAAATATATTGATTCACTCAATGGAAAAATAACAAATACATCTTCAGCCATGCATGTGCAAATGAAACTAGCAAAATATCTCTATAATCCTAACAAAAGTGGGGTCAATTGTCTGATTGTGACTATGGCATACAGTGTTCATGAATTACTGCCAGTTTGTGGTGGTACCAACGGTTCACAAAAAAAGCTGAGCATATATTGCCTGACCAGTGAGTGGGAACCTGCAAGTCCAATACATCTGTTCTGTGTTTGTGGCTCTGCCCTAATGTTGATATGTTCCAACTTACACCAACAATAATTTCCTTCATATCAAGCATCAGGAAGATGCCTTTACATCTGTGACCTTAACCATGGACATGACCTTTATAGATTACATATTATATTTCAGATCCCATATATATTATTTGTTATTTATCTCCTACTCTTCCCTGATATTAGGGATGGTGAGTTAAGACTTATGACAATTATTTTCCCATTTCAATGCATAATTGGTAGTGTTGGGAATTGGTTAAAATTGATCATTGGTCCATTACAACCGATCAATCATCGAAAATAATTGGTTAGGATCATTTATCAAATGTTCCTGTTACCTTTGTTAATGCACAAAATAATTTACAAAAAACCCCATGTAGTTATTTGGGTTTTGGGGTAAATTGCACAAAATGCATTTTCATGCTTCACATATTTAAAGGATGGCTAGTATGTGAGGAACATAAATTTCCAGGAGTCTTTAAGATAGATTCAATCATGACTTGGAACAAGCTTGTAGTGCTTATGAAATGTAAATATAATGACTCAGACAAACCAACCTTGTGAAAAAATATTGTTAATGCAAACAAGTGTTCCAAAACTGCTTGTGTTCGATTATGAGAAAACATTTTCGATTTCTTGGTCATTTAGTCACTGCGACCAATCTTCGATCAGACCACCACTAATAATTGGTTGACTGCTCACTTAAACTCAGAGCCTTGGTCACATTGTGGTATTCTTGGATTTCCCCATCCATACTCAAGGTAGATCCTATGTAGTTGATCCACAAAGTCAATGGTATGTTGCCCCACTGGTGTTTTCTATATCAGGTTTCAAATTTGCTCCATTAGGAAATTTGGGATAACAATTGCCTGTCACCCTGCTTATCAATAAACTCCTGTATGGATTCCTAAGAATTTTTCAGCATAATACCGGTTTATCAATGTTCTTATATTTTCGGAATTTCGGATCCTGAACCCAACAAACGCTGTGTAAATTTGTGGATATGACATTATGAAGTCCAGACTGAGGAATCACTATTTTCCTGTCCCCATCAAAAATTTCCAGTCTGTATTTTCCATGGACAGGGTTGTGGATTTCTTTCAAAGGTAAATCAAACTTGTTCATTTTCTTACAAAAATGATAAAACTTGACAATCTTACTTTTCTGGGAAATGTCACCTCCTTCAAGTTTTAATCTAAGGCAGTCGTGATGTCAATTGAAATAACACCAATGCTTCTATTTCTTGAAGGTTGTGCCTGAAATGCATCAAAATCCATCATTAGGTTCAATTGTACCTCATATGTTTGTTTCTATTTTATCTCACATTATGTGATTAATGTTAATAATGTTATATAATTTATTGAGTCATCTTACAAAAGTTATTAACAAATGTATACAATACAAAAGGTACACACAAGGACCCTCTTTATTCTATCTGGAGTGTTATTCCACAAAAAAAATGAAAAGAATAAGACAAATCAAACTGAGGTAAAACATATTTTAATGTGGTTGCCTCATCAGCATTAAGATTACTCTTTAGAGTTTATTTGGGTAAACATACTGACAGTATGGTACAATGAACATATCACTGCACAATAGATTATAACATAATAAACACATATGAAACACATAAACAGTCACTGAACACTATATTAATGCACACCATTATTAACATACCATATCAAGATGTAATCACACCCAAATAGTTCAGCTGCTGCCTATACTTAATATGTGGCTGATTATGAATTAGGGCAAATGAGACACTAACATGACTAACAATTATCTTCAAACTAAGAAACAAAGGCTAGGTTCTGTACGTACTGTTAGGATGGATTACTTGTTGAAGTGGTAGTACATCTCAGTGATGTATTAATGGTAATCATAATAATTATAAAGCCTTTTAAAATGGAAAAGAAACATATATTATCCAAGTCCTTCAAATCCATTAAATCCTTTCTTCAATATGCATAATAATTGTCAAAACATATCACATTTATACAAGTTGTACACGTGAAACCATGTTATATGCAAGATTACACTTTCTCAGTAAAATACACATGCTAGACATGTTTGGGGTTCAGTCCCATCCAGGATTTGAACCGACTCTCTCCACCAAATCGCCAACATACAAAGTCAGTGATCTAGCCAACTCAGCTGTGAACATAATTATATTGTCAGACTTTCACCACACCTAGTCAAATACATCCAAAATGGCCCTTGGTCCAAAATGTGTTTACATGCTCTAACATTGAACAGAGTAAATGACATGGCAACTAAATAATATTTCACATGTGGTAGTCTCCAAAGCAGTTTGCAAAAGAAAATTATTTAGGTGATAAACAGCTGGTGTTTCCTTTTCATATATTTTGCTGTAATCTTCAGGTTATTATAAATATGAAATGGATACTTACATGCACTTACATGTTGCATGAAATATCACTAAACTACTTAAGTCAATAATGCCTTGTCTTCCTATGTGATGTTTATATGTGTACTTATGACCCTTCTGCAGCTGCCCTTAAACGTACAGAAAGGTATTAATGTTGAAAAAAATGGAGACATCTGCACTAGGCAAATCTGTGATTTATGTACTGTATGTGTACATGTGAGTGAGAGAGAGAGTGAATTTAGTTTTATGCCGCATTTAGCAATATTCCAGCAATATCACGGCAGGGGACACCAGAAATGGGCTTCATCCATGTGGGGAATCGAACCTGGGAAGCGAACACTTTAACCAGTGGGCTACCCCATGCCCTGTATATGTGTACATGTCACTTAAATTTGTTTTAAAAGAATTGGATGAAGCTTCAATACTTTTCCCCTGTCCAACATGTCTATATGGCACAAAATACAGAGAGATTTGTTACACTGAAAGACCTGTAAGAGATAAATTATGTCTATTTCATTAATGTTTTGCAAAATGTATTTCTGCATTAATAAAGAATGTTTTATAATCATACAGATACCATGGGAGTTTATTCATTTGTCACAAAAAAGAGTGTCATGGGATAATTTCACGTAACATCATATTTCGAATGACAGAAAATCTTTAAACCTCAAAACTAGTAACTATGCAACTTCCTGTTCATTAATGGTCAGTTGTTTGCCTTCCTCTGCTGACATCATCAAATCATAGCAGAGTCTGCTACATTAATAGAATATGGTTTTGATACTCATAACCTGATGTAATTGAGATAGTTTAAAACTGTTTCAACACACACTCCTGCTTTGCTTATATTGTAAACAAACAACTGTCCAGGTTTGATAAACCATTTATGAGAGGGCTAACACCAGTGTCTGATCTTTAATTTATCACCAAAGTCATTTGTGTAAGCATCTTTGATGTAGGCTGGTGATCTAAGTGGAGAGGAATCAGAAACATTGTTCAAAGTTAGAAAGCACAGAATTCATGCCAGAAATTGGCCAGGGTCACATTAAACAGCTTTAAAGTCCTGACATATGTAAGGCTGAATAATGAATTTTGCCAGAAAGTATAAAGTAAGGGGTTGGAATATGCCTAGCAATGTGAAACACTGACCAAAGAACCCTACTGCCTGTTAAAGCCAGGAAATTGAAAGTTAAACAGATGAAAGCTCTTTGAGACGGGTTATAGCTGAAACGGCCCCACGGCAAAACGGCCCCAAGTCGAAACGGCCCCAAATTGGCTAAAACGGCCCCAAATGTTTCGCTGAAATGGCCCCATGACTAAACGGATCCAAGTGAAAACGGCCCCATATTTGCCAAAATGGCCCCAAAATAATCAGTTTTATTTCAATGTGTGTCCTTAGCCATAAATGATAGATCAAAACGCATATTTTTCAATTACTTATTACATTAATTAACTTTGACATTTTCATCATGATTTTATTCTGTTTAAATGGCCATAAGGCCATTAATACATGTGGAAGATATGAATCAAACTGAATATTGTACAGATCGTCTAACAATATTAAGCGCTAGAATTTAAGTTTAACAAATAAAACATTAGATTTCAGAATCAGAATTCAAATTGTTAAAAACACATCCATACCATGAAGTCACTCATACAGTCATTCAAACAACATTGAAGTAGCAGTTGCTCTGTCGAGTGAATCCTGACAGAGCTGGTGCTTTGACAAAAATTAGCACTCAAACAACAACTTTCATAAAACCTATGGAGCTAAAGTGTACTGGCTGTAGTGTCCGAATTCCACCACCACCTGTTCAGCCTCTGTCATTCAGACTGGTGAGAAGTTTAAAGATGGCATCCATCGGCACGGTCATCCTCCAACACCTGGTCAACTTACAACCATTAGGGACAGAGTGGAGGTGATTATGATCTGTTTGTTTAACTAATTGCATTGATTAGCTGCCGGTTTTGCCTAAGGGGATTAAATGGATTAACCTAATCATGATTTAATTACCGGTAGCAGCTCGTTGCTTTGATTAGCTACCTGTTTACTCATCTCATTGAGTAACTATGTAATCTTTTATGATTTTAAAAGGTGAAAGACCAAGCTGTTAAAGAACTGTATACATCAGGCAACACCATCATTGAGAGAGCTCAACAGAAATACTATGACCCAGAGGCGCCAGGTGGACGACAGAAACGGACATCACTCATCAGGATGGCAAACAGAATCTGAGAGAAACTCAGACCAAAGTTGGCGACCAGCCCCTTGGCTTATACAGACTAATCCCTGAATTGCACAGAGAAGCCAGTCTGTTGCCCTAGCAAGTTCGGATGATTCAAGAAGGCCGACTTCGAACCTACCTGCGCAACTCTGCCACAGCTACACAGGAAGATATCTTCGAGGCCTGGAGAGGTTACATGGATGGAGACCTATAGCTGGGTCAACATTTGACCAGATGCAGCAAAGCCCATGGACCCATCAGATGCTGACTTTATATCTAAGAACTGTTCCCTTGTTGGTATCATGCTAGAACCATTGGAAGTTTATTGTCAGTGTCGTTATTCTATTTAATATGTAACTTCAGATTACATTAAAAATGAAAACAAATACATGGTCAAGCACGTTAATGGTACTGCTGTGTGTGCCGCAAGGAGTGTATTGTTAGGACTTTTTTCTGTTCAATATCTGTTACATGTCAATTTAAATGCTCAAATATATTTCACGTCTTTTTTTGCAATTGTACAGGGTCATTTCAAGCAATCTCTGGTTGTTTTCACTTAGCAACATCGGGGCCGTTTTGCACTGGGGCTGTTTTAGCCAAGTTTGGGCCGTTTTAGCCAAGCAAAATTGGGGCCGTTTTGCCATGGGGCCGGTTTAGCCTGATCCCTTTGAGACCACAGCATGAAACGAAATTACACATGAGTCTATCAATTCATCAAGCTAAGACTTTGAAATACTTCCATGAAATAAAAAAAAATCACTGTTTGCTGTTTTGAGAATGCTAGACTTGCCAATTTCATATATGAAAAACAAAATGAAAAAAATCCAGATAACTTATGAAGTTTATTAGTTACCCTGCCCAAAAGTGATTATTATTCATCAGAAATATCTAATGGATGAGGTTGAGAGAGTTATGGAATTTGAGATACAGCATTCACTGGACTGGGGCACTTAAATGTACTGTATGTACCTACATGTTCAAGTACCACAAACTAAATAATTGTTTGAAAGTCATGAGAGAAAAAAGTTTATTCATATGCAAAAAGGGTGTAACAGAAAGAATGGATCATATGCAACACTGTTTACTTAAAATAAGAGGGTTTTGTGACATATTGTGCCATCAGCAGTGAACCCATTTCATACTCACAATACTCATATCATATGACTTTACACACAGACACCCAAATTGTGTCAGTGGTGACTTTATCCTAATTTGTTGTCAGTTCATCGGTTTCAAAAAATTTAGAAGCCAGGTAACCATTACCATGTGGGCTCTTGTCACTGTTAGACCACAAATCGAGGCTACATTCAAATCAAGGCCACTAAAACATTCCATTCAACTCAAGCAGCCCTAGCTTCACTCCCTTAAATTAGTCTCTATAACAATGCCAACTTGTATCCATGGTGAAACATAAATAGGAAAGCATATACATGTAATGTATGAATTACTAAAATGTGCACTAACCTTTACATGTTGCACAAAATCAAATGTTTTCCGATTAACTTCCAAAGCAACATTAAAAACAACCAGGCTGTTAACAGCCAATACATGTAGTACATATAGCCTCAGACCACTTTACTATCTACAGTGACATGCCATGGCCAGAGCACCATAATTAATATCTGTCCTAGGCTGTCCTCCTGTGGCATGCTGACCAACCTACTACTTCTCACTTACCCAGCAAAATATCGGTCTGGATCGAGAATTTCAATTTTGCTGTATCCACTGTCAACAACGGTCACCGGAATTTTCGAGCTGAAATACACTAAACAGCCTTGAACTTGGGGTCAAATCATGAAAGGCTGGAGTCAATAGCATGTGCAGATTGAGGACAAAAACAAATGGCAATAAAGTAAAATGTCTGATCTTTCATTTAAGCTGTCACAAGTCACCCTGAATAAATTAGCACAGACAAATCAGTGAATTTAAACAACGCACTACATTCTCCTATTTTCCTTCCGGGTCATGGTAAAACTTAGAGGAGTAATACAGGAGTGTGAAAAGTGCCGACCCCAGTTTCGCACCAAAATGTAACCTACTTGAAAATATCTCTGCACACATTCTGCAGAAGCAATCAGGTTAAAAAGAAGCAACTACACATTGAAAAAATATGGTTAGTTTTAATTACTGGATGAATACACATTTTACAACATAAAATCATCCAATCACTGCTGTCATTTGATTCAGTCAGCACTGAAGGCTCTCTATGATGCTTTAAAATAAAAAGGCACAGCAAAAACAACATGCATTTCATATCCTACCAGTCCCCTGGGGTGCTTGGGGCTGGATGAAGCTCTCCTGGGCAGCTGGCAGAACCTGTGTGGTGCACACTGACTGTCCGCCTTGACGCGCCGATGAAGTGGCACAGCTTGGCTGAAATGGGAGAGAGAGTGAATGAAATTTTCAGTCTAGAGGGGGTTGTACATGGTCAAAGGGATCAGGTGGGGCCTCTGCACCAGCCAAAAACCCCCAAGAGGGTCCAGGGAGGGGCCAAGACATCATTGTGCATTTAAGGTTTTCTGTGCACTTAAGGACTGCTATAGGAAACCTTAAGTGCACAGAAAACCTTAAATGCACAATGAACCTTTTTAAAAAAGGCACAGCAAAAACAACATGCATTTCATTTCCTACCAGTCCCCTGGGGTGCTTGGGGCTGGATGAAGCTCTCCTGGGCAGCTGGCAGAACCTCTGTGGTGCACACTGACTGTCCGCCTTGACGTGCCGAGGAAGCGGCCCAGCTTGGCTGAAATGGGAGAGAGAGTGAATGAAATTTTCAGTCTAGATGGGGGTTGTACATGGTCAAAGGGATCAGGTTCAAAGGGGTGTTGAAAATGCCATGAAAATGATTTTATATTAATTACTTTAGAGGGAAGTTAAGTTGAAAATAATTGAAAGTGATTTTAACTGCCAATCAGTAAACTCAGTAAGACTTGCCAAAGTACCAAAACACCCTGGCAGTATGGTATCTTTGGAGGGATATACTTTGCCAGACATTTAAACTGGCCGAGGTGTTGACATGGTGTTTCTTTTTTTATCCTTAATATATTTATCTGCACCTTCACACCAGAAACTAGTAATTTTACCATTTGGAGGGATTCCTCAGATACACGACCCAAATTCCAGAAATATTTGTTGCCATGCTAGGTTACCCTGGGATATAAATCTCAAATATTTATTTCAAAGTTTGTAGTGCTCTGATAGCCATGGAAAGGTAGCATTACTTTGGCCTGCCTGGGTAACCTTTCCTTCCTTCATTAGACGCCCTATTAGAGCTGACGCTATTGAAATACGTGGAGATAGTTTAATTAGATCTGGCAATATGTACCCTGTATTTAGTTGGTTGACAAGAGATGTTATTGTGTTTGGTTGGAGAGTTATGAAAAGTCAGGACTGAGCAATGACAATATTGACATGTGAATGTTTCCATCGCAACGCTAGGTACCGTAGTTGTTCTCGAGGAGGCTTTCTCGCTTGAACTCCTTCACCATGGGAGGTTGCGTCGCAACACTTCAATACAGCACATTATATTGAATAAACGGCACGTATACTTCATGTTTACATATACCTCATATGCATATTGTAGCTGTCACATTGTATAAGGAATTTAACAGACGAAGAAGCATAGGTCAACTCCCTCTACTAGTTCCGCGGAAGATACTGTGCCGTGTATGTGACGTAGTGACATAAGCTCCGTCAACTCATGAATATTCATGATTTCGGTGCACCTAAGACCATTGTGCGTTTAAAACACGCGTATAGCCACCTTGACCTCGCACGCAGGCTGTGCAACGTGGCCTCATTGAGTTCACTAGAGTCTGAAAGACTGCCTGAGGCAACTGGTTCCGCTCAAACACCAATCTGTATTCCAATTGTGCAAGTGTGAGTGGCTGTCTACCTGCCCCAATCCTCTGTCCAATTTCGTCCCAGAATGTTCAAAGGGAGCCATATCCGGGAAAGAGACGGCCATGGAAAAATGTTAACGCTGTTCTGAGCAAGATGATCCATCAAAACCCTTGCTGTGTGAGGGCTGCTAGCGTTGTTGACGGGTCAAAACTGGCCCCACATATGGCCGTCGGCAGTGGATTCCAGCAGCCCGAAGACGACGCCTAACCGTATCGCTGGACACTGTACCCCTTGACCCTAGAACTAAGGCTGCTGTTACTGTTTCTGCTTGAGTTCGGTTCTTTAGATGAGTGACCCGGATGAACCGATCTTGCGTATGAGTTGTCACTCGTTGCCGTCCGGTACGGGGACGATGAGCAGCAACTCCGATTTGCTGATGATGTTGAGCAAGCCGTGTAATGGTGGTAAGATGACAGCCCAGTTGTCTAGCTACAGCGGTTGCAGAGCTACCTCCGTGCAACTTTCCAATGGCCACTCCCCTCTGCTCAGTCGTTAGTCTAGGCATCGTTTGTGTGGCGTTTACACCTCCTAGCGTCAATACTGAACTGTTTTTTGACACAAACCTTTATAAAGAATACCTCAGAGTGAAATGCATGCTTTCCATCCAGAACCGTGTACGCACGTGCTACAATTATGGTTCTGCTGCACTGTTGGTGTATTTGTGCGAATGGTTCGTATGGACGTCAAATTGCATGACATCATCTCATCTGGGATCATTACGTCACTTTACCATGAACGTTCCATAAACATGAACGCTTACCTTCATGAGATTTCATTTTTTCAAAACATGCGTTTCTTTTGCTGTTCAGTATATTATGAAATGGGAGAATATATTAATTGAATTTGGTTTCCATTAATGTAGGCCAATACTTACAATGTTGGTGTCCTTTGAAGGAAAGACAATATTTGATTAATTCATATGATTATGTTATATTTATGTCACCAAATTGAAATTAGAAGCATATTATATTGTTATTTCTATATCATGCATCATAAGCTGCCTTTTGATATGCTACATGATTATGTTGGAATAAGTTTAGGAAAATATGTTTGCCTCGAAATGATGCAATTTTGGGGAACTCATTTTCAATTACCCCACAATGTATGACACTTATTGTAGCAAACAGAAAAAAATGGAACCATGTATTTTTTTCTGAATCCATACACAATAGTGATTACAATTAGTATTGGTTCCAACAATTAACATGTAATTCCCACGGAATTACACAAGCCCCTGCACTAATTGTGTATATTTGTGACGTATGGCTAATTTGCTCGAGCAGGAACTAAGATGCACCTTTACCTTCGTTACCTAGGTGATTGTCACTTTGCGATATCTTGCTACTGGCGAATTTCAGATGAGTAATGGGGATGACCATAGTCTGAGATCCCACCATGTCAGGAATTACAAACACTTGATTCACTCACAATTCAGAGTATTGTCCGCAGATTTGTCACCTTCTCCGTGCAAGCCCAGGCAATAGACGACGTATGTTGTGACCTCAAATGTAGAATGGGCTTAAGTGTAGAATAATCATGAATATTCATCAGTGGGCGGAGCGTATCAACGTGCATGTTTAAAGACCCATGCAGCCGTCTGTAAACACAGATAAGGCGCAGCGCTTCCCTTTGGGAGGTATTGAAATATTTTGCAGTTGGTTCGAATTACATCTTGAATTAGCATGAAATAAGAATGTCAACAGTCTTCAGCTTATCGGCACTTGCTAAATAGCACTTGGCTTCAAAATCATATGTAGCTCTGGACACCTGCTTTAATTTGAAACACCTCTCTCTTCTTACTCGTAGCGACCGCCTCTGTGGTGTAGTGGTTAGAGCGTCCGCCCGGAGAGCGGAAGGTCGCGGGTTCGATCCCCGACCGTGTCATACCAAAAGACGTTAAAATATGGTACTTGTTGGTCCCTGCCTGTCGCTCGGCATTAATGGGTACAACAAGGACTGGTCGGCTCGGAGTCAGTATAATGTGTCTGAGTGGGGTATTCATGCTTCAAAGCGGCGGGTATCTCAGTGGGCTAGCACTATAAAACCAGCTTAAGTCTGGCCTAGTACAAGCAGCCGCACATACACATACACACGCATGCACGTCGTCATATGAGCGAAATATTCGCAAGCACCTCTTACTCGTAGCGTCGCCGCCATGGATAGCAAGAAATTGGGGAAAGTTAGGTTTCAACCACAGGGGCTTGTATTGCGCTGAAAATAATACGTCCTGGGTCCTACAAGCGTACACTGATATCCATATACATATAAAGAAGGACTCTTTATATGTATATGGATATCAGTGTACGCTTGTAGGACCCAGGACGTATTATTTTCAGCAATACAAGCCCCTGTGGTTTCAACAAGGGGTAAATGTTACCAGTCAGTTGCCCTCTGCTTGGCGACAGTGGTTACCCATGTCGGAAGTGGACTTTAACACCATTTTAGTCACGTTAGTGTCCTTCTCGGGACCATACACACACTACAACAGGTGTAATGCATTATTACCTTCGGCGAAATCGATTTTGTTCCCCTGGGCGAACCTAGCTAAATTTCAGACTCAAAGGCTTATGCAAATTTGCCGTACAGCCTTGATAAGAAGCCCCTAACAAATTGTCACCCACCTCTCGCTAACTCTCTCTCTCTCATAAAATACGCTGCTGGACACGTAGCAAGTCATGCATGAATACAGTTGAAAACTTTAGGCCTACATTAGCAAATGCTATCACTGTTAATCTTTTGATCGAAAGGTGTTTCCAATATCACACTACATACGCCTATGCCCGAACAAGGTGTTTTCAACGTATTTCTAAGTACAAAGGGCGCCTTCCATGAACCATGGGCGGCGTTCTGAGAAATCCAGAGTTAGATTATATCACGTGATAGCTGGGGTACATAACGATTGCTGGAGATGAACATAACTCAAAACCCGTTCCAAACGAAGCCTGTATCATGCATGCAGTTATCAGTAACGCTCCGAAACGATTGCGTGAACAGACGGTGAGTACATGAACGAATCTGAAATTCAGTTACTGTTGCTAAATGCGTAACTTTCGTTGTCACTGTCTTTCAAACAGCGCCTATTAATAATTATATTGATGTCAGTCTCCATGTCCCTGTTCGTGGTACAATACCGTATAATGACACAAAATATTCTGTCGTCCCGTAGATCATTCCATATTCTGAGCTCAAACAAACTGCTACTCCGGACCACTGCTGTCCCGACGGAAGATTTGAAGGCGTACATTTCAATGACCAACTGTAATTACTGTTTGCATTGTAGACATGCGCACAGGGGCTTGTATTGCTGAAAATAATACGTCCTGGGTCCTACAAGCGTACACTGATATCCATATACATATAAAGAAGGACCTTCTTTATATGACTATGGATATCAGTGTACGCTTGTAGGACCCAGGACGTATTATTTTCAGCAATACAAGCCCCTGTGGACATGCGTATAAAGAAAGGTGACGTTTTAACGTACTTCCTAGCCGAAACCTTTGATTTGATAATAAGTGACATCTTAAATTGACAATATGAGACTGAAGGACTATACAGAACTATAGATCTACCTTCCGAATTCAGGGGCGAGACTATACGCTGTGGTGGACAGAATCGATTATGTCACAACACGGGCTAAATATAGCAAACACTTCTGATTGGTTGAAGTAGTGGATCGGAATCTGAGTGACGCTTTGCACAGAGAACGCCCTCATAATGTTGTAGGGTATCAGTGTACTTTTGAAGACCGGCTAGGGAGCGACTCCTTTTACTTTATCTGATGGCTAAATGGATAAGGAAGAAGAAATATATATTTCAAACCCGTATTTTCAAGTATTTCGATACGAAAAATACCAGGCTCCCGAAGGCGCCGTCCATATTTCAAGACTATTTCTACAGTGACGCTTTGCATAGAGAACCCCTTATGTTGTAGAGTACCTATATACTTTTAACGAGGGTCTAGAGAGGGACCCTTTTTACTTTACTTGATGAACTGAGACTATTTCGATATGGGCTCGTCCAAATCTGCTACTCATTAGTCATTATTTCGTTTAACTTTTAAGGAGGGAAAGGGAGCGGCTCTTTATATGTTAATTCAGAGAATAAAGGTAATAAAGATGGATTTGAAAAATATTTATGAATTGAGAACTACAGCCACCAACAGCTCCATTTACTCGCGCGCACACACATCTGGTATATGAGAATGTATTTGTTTCTTTCAGTAATCAATAGTTAATAAATGTGTTACCTTTCTAAAGTACGTAGACCGCTTCCGTGGTGTAGTTGTTAGAGCGTCCGCCCGGAGAGCGGATGGTCGTGGGTTCGATCCCCGACCGTGTCATACCAAAAGACGTTAAAATATGGTATTAATGGTCCCTGCCTGGCCCTCGGCATTAACAATGGGTACGACAAGGACTGGTCGGCTCGGAGTTAGTATAATGTGTCTGAGTGGGGTATTCATGCTTCACTGCGACATGGTATCTCAGTGGGCTAGCACTATAAAACCAGCTTCAGTCTGAGCTAGTACAAGCAGCCGCACATACACATACACACGCATGCACGTCGTCATATGAACTCAATATTCTCAAGTACGACGTAAAACCCAATTTCACCTCACCTCACCTCTAAAGTACGTCGTTAACTCGTTTGTAACTTGCTTAATTTATGCCTGTCCCTCTCAATAAATAGCCGGACAGCAACTGGAGTTTATTTGGTGATTTGGTTTTGAACAGATTACAGAAGAACACGAAGAAGTGTCATCATTAGGCTTTGAGGCGTTGACGGGGCAGTGTGTATGGTTTACTCGCACATGCAGTGCGCGTTGGCTTGGGAAGGTTATCTCCCATGACAGACACTGAACTAGAAGGTTAATTAGGGTAACACCTACGGGTATAATGGAACAGTCCACTGTCCAGTGAGTAGAGTAGGGTGAGCCTGAAACAGGTTCGTTACTGAGAAGTTTGATTGTGTGTAAACATAACTTTGTTGTGATTAAATGATAATGTGTCTTCTCTTCGCAAAATGGTTTTTACTATCAGTTACTATCGAATATAAAAACAGATTTGTCACCGAGAGGTTTGATTGTGTTTATTGATGAAAACATAGTTTAATCATTCAAGAAAAGGTTTGGACACAGGTTATACAACTTAGAAAAGCCTTCTCCCAATAATTACAGAATCGATCTTACAACATTGTACACCAGTGACAGACATACACAAGGCAAGGATATGTAAAGCAGACGTTAACTGAGCAAACGTTTTGTCTGAGAGATAACATATGTACATATTTGAAAACATTCCGGTCTTCAGTAACTGAGAGACCTGCATTGCCATGTAAGATAAGATTACTATTTTTAACAATATTTTCTAAAGATTTAACAGTTAATATCTTTGAATAGTACACAGTGGACATTCGAGGAAGTAATGAAAAACATTCTCACATCCATGGTCACATTGACATGATGCGTCTTGTGTGCAAAACATAACTTCCTTATTCCATATGAATAATATTTAGGTGCACATTTTTCTTTCACGTGGCTATAAGATTTAAATGATGCAACAGGGTCGCAATTTCTAATAGCTAAGGGAATATTATTTCACATTGTAACTGCTATGCAATAAAATATGATGTTGAGTACCTCAGTCTTGAACATGGTTGGCTAAATTTATCTGAGTTTCTTAACTCATAACTTGTCCGGTTGCCTATACTACAGGCGGGAGTGAATCCTGAAAGAAAACTGGTGTTGTTCAATTTAGTAGAAAGTTTAATTTTTGAAATGCTCCAATCATTCTATATGTCAATTTGACAGTGCTTTCAATATGATGATGTCAACTCCCGTCAGACGAGAAGGTTAAACCCAGTTGTTTATGAAAATCAACTGTTTTTATATTGCAGGAATCAAATTTAAACTTAATGTCTTTTCGGCCATCTTTCAAAGTAAATAATATAGCCGACAGACAGACAGATAGACAGATAGATGAGGGATGCTACTTGATAAGGGAAGTTACTTAATAACAGTGTTAGGATCTGCACCAAACGTCGCATCTATTGCAATCTGGAAGCTGTCTATCCATAGATAAGTGTTCCTCTTCATCATATCATTTTCTAAATGAAAGCCATGGCTATTGCAGGTGACCATCATGCATTTAGTGATTCACTGTAATTGGTCGTTTGGACATCATTTATTGTATTTTTATGTGTTTCACGTAGCCACCAAATTCTGAACATGGGTAGGTCGGTCGGGAAAGAAAAACAAAACAAAACAAAAACAACACAACAACAAAAAAAAAAAAATAAAGACAAACTTATCTGAAGAGTGTTCTTGATTCTCATTTATTATATTTTTTAATACAACTTCTCGTGGACTTTGGACTTATGGCAGCGACTGATTTAGGTTCGAGTCAACGGTGTTGGAATGTAAAAAAAGACGTTTTTTTGCGGGGGTCGACAATACAAATAAGAAGGGTCGGTCGGGCGATGAGAAACACAGAAAATAAAAGTGCTCCCCTTTTTAAATAGCTGTAATTTCCACTGAAGTTATGGAAAATTGAAACAGAATTATTTCATATTTAAGTGATCCACAGCATATGATACGCGCCTCTTCAATGGAAATTTCTGCCTGAGATAAGGCTTGCCAATACTCAGGTTTACAAGTCCTATTTTACATGTGAATATCCTGTTTATTCAGGAGAACAGAAACAGTTTCCCATATGTATGTCATAATATATATGCATGATATCTAATCATGTTTGATGCCCGATTTAATCATGCACGACATGATATGAAGTTTAACATATGTTACATGTGACCACTTTCTAAATGACATTGTGTAATCATGATAGGAAAGAGCATGAATACAGTTACCCTCAGAGAAGCATGCGATATTGACATGGCTCGACCGATTCACTAAAGTTCTCTTTCTTTATGTTAGTTGGATTGTATTGGCTTATTACTTTTATGCTATTGAAGTTAATCAATGTTATATGACAAAGATATGTGTATTTTTTTATTGCATGTCTTTTTGTATGCAGGTTTACATCTTGCAAACAGGGTTCATATTTCTTTTCACAGTTGGTGTTTCTAACTTTATCAGTCGTTTTTCTTTTCTCATAAAGTCTATAAATGTTCTTTTTTTCTTTCCTACCGGCAGATCATGGTTGTAATCTGCCTTGTTATCTTATCCTTCTTTGTTCCTAACAACAATGACTTTTCCCCTTCATGTATCACAACTGAGTCACGGCTCCAGATAATAATTTTGACTCAAGAGTATTTCACTCCTCAAAATTAAAATTGAGGAGTAAAATACCATATGGAAATAAAAGGAGGAGTATTTCACAGGTTGCGTGGTTTATTACTTTTCCTTGCTAATTGAAACAGTTTTCCTTTAAAACAACTCGACGAGTTTCTTTTGGTTACTCATTCTTACTGCAGACGACAGGAAATAAATTACAGTGCGCGTTGACATAAATGTTTTCCTACGCTCGTTTAAGGCCATCACGTAATATACAGCAGCCCTAAAGCTGTATTATTACTGATACGGGCCGGAAACGTTGTGATAGTAACGCTCTTTAAGGGCAGGCTTTTAAACAAATTGTGAACCGAACGTGGATTAGAAATATTAACGGATATCAAACGGAAAAACTCGACAATCTTCGCTTCAATACAGACAACATCACTATTCGAGATGTGTGGGACTGAAACAATATTTTGACAGGTATGGTTCACGCATGTAAACAAAATCTGACTCGTATTCTGAGAAAGTTATACGTATCTTTCACTCATTGATTTGATTTTTTTATGCGTATATCTGAATTATCCGTAATTTACGCAGATACGCATCTTATCTGAAGCCCAGCTATTAGCTACGATACATAGCGTTCTCTAGTGAACATGACGCTGTTCATGTTAGTGAACGCTATCGAGATGTGCTAAATGGCAATAACTCAGTATCACATCACACGAATATGGATATTCTAAGTCAGTGCATCAATTCATTATTACATCAAAACGATTTGATTCATAGAAGCCTTGTAGATTCTAATAATAAATTTCTATTATTTTCTTATTTGTATCAACTGGCCACGAAACTAAACTAAGGTAATTTGTTAATATCCGAGATGGTTATCATTCAGAGATAGCTTGTTCTTATATTCACAACTTGTTACAATTATTAAGTACAACATTATGTATATATGTAAACTTATACATGTATTATGGAGCGGCTTGTTTGCCAATCCTTTGCTTTTTGTTTCCAAATAAAATATGTTTAAACCATATGCATGGCATATTTTTAACGGGGGACCGGCCAAAAAGCACCTTGGTTCAAAAGCCTCTCTTGACGAAAGCCCCTCCCTAATTTGAGCACCCCTGTGAAAAGACCCTTGATTCATGCATTTCATAAAAGAATGAACCTTTCTTATGGCTCTTATATTTATACTGTATTTTAAGTGGGAAAAAGTATTTTATATTTTATAAAGTATGAGGAACTTCTGTCATTACATATGTTATATAAAGTATATTAAGTATTTTATCATACCAATGTAAAGGAAATGGAGAAATGTGATAATTTCTTATTTGGAAAGTCTGCAACCTGGAAAGGAAACACAGCCAAACCCAGGCTTTCCCAAGGAGGAAATGGGTATATTGCCAAACAAACACATCATACCTATTCACTTTCGCATTCTCAGTAATATTAAACTATTTTAATAGCTGTTAGTAATTTATTCATTATTTTTAACCTTTGTGTCTAAATGCAATATAGTGTCTTGTAGGCCATATTGGCTGGATGTTGTACTCAATTTTATGTCTATATTCTATGATGCCTTTTATGATGTACATCATGTGACACTTTAGTAAATAATTTTCTTCCTATTACACTGGGATCAATGTATCTTGCAAAACTTAACTCTAACTGAGCTAATTTGCACAAGTATGAACCAGGTGTATATATTTTGGTGAAAAACATTTCACTAAAACTTGATCATGGAGTTAAAGACTACAAACAAACAAGAATTATTTGCTTATTACATATTAATTTATATAGTATTTAGGGTCATTAAATTATAAAGCAATTAAACGTTTCATGTCATTAATCATTTCTTGTCTTTAATCTTATTTTCCCAATTAATACATAGAGTGACGGGCTTTTCTCCAAGGGGCTTTTGGTCGAGGGGCTTTTGTACTGAGGGCCCTTTGACCTAGACCCTTTTTAACAATGCCAAAGTAAAATCACAATTTGCTAATTATTCCCTTCTTCCTTTTCAACATTCTTGACAAATCTTCACTTAATGCAGAAATACAGGAATCACACATATGTGAACCTGAGCCGTGAATAATGCATAAACTTTGGGCAGCACATATGGATACAAAATAAACATTTAAGCAGGAATATTTCAAACAATGTCCTCCCAATATATCCTACAAACTGGACTCAAGAATGTACATATAATAATATATGAACAAAAGCAAAGAAACTATCAGTGCCCAATGTGATAGTTGACTTGTGTGTAAAATTCACTGACTCAAAAAAGGTTTCTCGCCCAGGAGGTGATCCTTGCCCTCTTTTCAATATTTCAGTGGTGAGAAGTAAGCTGTGTTCCAGGTGAGAGGGAGGCGGCACCATGAGTCGGGGTAAGTTGACATCAGAGACCATATATGTATGGCTTCTGCTGACATATTCCATGTTGTGTATGGGATTATTAAGGCTGTACACTGATTCCAAGAGGTGTACATATTCTTCAAAGCTGTGTACAGTTTAAATGCTGCATGTGTGGTTATTTGAAGTCATGCTGATGTTTGGCTTCAACATGGCCGGCTAACACTGTCACCAAGGTGTCATTAGATGTCACGAGACGATATGCCAGCTGACACAACTGAGCGTGACGTGAGAGGGAGCTACAATCTTTAATGGTACCAAAGGATTTGGATTCCATTTCTGCATGTCAGGTAAAATTGTCACGTCAGTTGACCTTAAACGCACATTTCATTTATTTGAACCCGTAAACAGAATCAACCCCATTTGCCGTTGCTACATTTTAAAAACTCACTACGGTAATTATGTGTATACTATTATTAACTTTTGTACACAGAAATGTAAGAGCAGATTTTTTAAGCAACAACTTAGTTCCGTTCATATCCTAAAAACAACATGGAACCTACAGTTCTTTAGGCAACCAAACTGCATGCAATACAACAATTATTACTCCCTTGTTGTAATCCATGTTTTTTTATATAAACCTACACCTGTATGCCATCAGTCACTTTATGCTCAGTTGATGAATTTGTAACCGGCATAACAGGCATAGTGGTAACACCACTCTGACATTACCTGACAAAGGTTCCCATTTGACATTTCTCATGCCAGGGTAATTACACAAGTACATGTAGTCAGGTCTGATGTGGCAAATGTATTACGTGTTGTGTAATCTGCAGATGGAAACGCAACAAGAGAGGAATTATCAGATGAGATAAAAAAACAGTGATCCGAGGATTAACTGGTAATACACTGTGTTATTTTACACAGTGGATTTGTCACAACTTAGTATTTATATCTGCATATTTCTTACGCAGACCGAATACACCCATCTCCTTTGGTTCACTCCCATTATGACTACTCCCAGTTTGACTACCCATCCAAGACACAACCTGTTCCAGTCAAATGTTTATTAATTACTAGCTCTCTCCCCTCCATCAAGTAGACTGTTCCACCATAATAATATACAAAAACAAAACAATCATAGCTGTACTAGGTTCATACAATATGTATTCAGCTAATTATATAGGTCATTGCTGTGGAAGAGTTCAAGGGAATTTACAAAAACTGTTTTGCCACCCAGCCTGCAGCACGAACAAAGTCAATAGTCAAAGTCTGTCTTCTCTGGAGCTGATCCTGTAGATGGCAGACCGAGCATATAACTCTCTGTACTTCCTTTTCCTGGGTGGTGCATTTCACATTTCATAACGTGTCATAATGTCGTTTGATTGATTTAAACATATTTTATTCACAAATGTGAAAGGGATTGGGGACAAGTAATCCAACTTAAAATACCCGCTCCCCTAATATTTACATACAAACATTTTCAATTATATACATATTAGGAAAGAATAGAGAGAAGAGATAGGAAAGTTAAGTAGAGGAAGGGATACAACTCATGTGATCACACAAAACGTTTCGATTGATGAATAAAAGTTTGCACACCTTTAAAAACGTATTTATTCTGTTGAATGGTCATATCAGGACTTCCAAATAACATCAATGACAATGTGATTGGAGAGTCTCGATTTACAATACTTTTTAAATTTAACATTAATATTTCCCTTTGGATGTTGTACAGTTTACATTCTAATAGGAAGTGATGTACATTTTCACAAGTATTGTCACAGTAACAAGAAGCTGAATCTTTTATGTTGAAACGATACAGATCATAATTTAGCTGACTGGTCATATATCTCAACTTTGTGTGTATAATATTTAATTTTCTAATTCCAAACGAAAGTAATATGATGGAGCTACAGGTTGCTCGCACTTTAAGCAACGACTTGAAACTTTGTAATGAAGGTCGATTTCTTTCGGTATCAGAAATATTATTCCACATTCTTACAGTTGATGGAAAAAGGAATCATATGAAAGTCTTAACCTTGCAGAAGGTAGAATAATATTGCTAGCATTCCTAAGGTTATAATTAGATCTTGATCCAACACTATCTGGAGTATTATCTTTAAGTATACAGGGGCTAAATCATTTTGAATTTTGTAGAATAGACAAAGTTTTCTTCTTTTTCTTCGTTCATCCAGCCTTTCCCAGCCTGTCTCATAATATAGAATTTGACGTGAAGTATATCTAGGTAGACCATTATCTATTCTGGCAGCTTCTAACTGAAGTTCTCTAAGTTTTCTTTTCTGTTTTACAGTACAGCCATCCCATAATTCACAAGCATATTCAAAGTGTGGTCTGATAAATATCTTATAAATAGTATTGATTGTATTTCTGTTAAGTAAGTATAACAATTTCCGCATTGATGATATCATTTTGGAGCACGACTTGATAATTTGATTAGTATGACAAGACCATTTGCCTTTTGCTTCAAATGTTATTCCCGAGATGTTTATGATTGTTTACCAAATTGATTTGCTTTCCGTCAAAAAATAATTTCAATTCTTCAGTTTCATCAATCATGGAAAACAACACTGCTTCTGTTTTTTCAGGATTATATGAGACCAGCCAGTTTTTGCTCCAGCTATATAATATGTCTAAGTTGGTATTAAGAGAATTTTCGATTTCTTTAGTATTTTTCGATGATTTTCCAAGCGAGGTATCCTCAGCAAAAAGTCTTGTTACACAATCTAATTTATCAGCAATATCGTTAACATAGACCACGAACAAAAAGGGTCCCAATACTGATCCCTGGGGGGACGCCAGCTGTTAAGTACCTGGGCTTGGATATAGCTCCGTTTACAAAGACGTGTTGACTGCGATCACTTATGTAACTCGATATCCATTGCAAAAGCTGGCCTCTAATACCATACATCTCTAATTTACGTACAAGCCCTTTGTGCCACACACCACGATCAAAAGCTTTGGATACATCGCAAAATACCATACAATATTTTTTCTTTGTTGTCGAGAGATGTACAAATATGATGGTAAAGTTCAATTAATTGATGGACAGTTGAATGACCTGCTTGAAAGCCTGATTGGTACTTATATAAAAGTTTGTTAACAAGGAAATAGTTATACAAGTGTTTGTATACCACTCTTTCAAACAGTTTTCCTATGCAACTTATAAGAGAAATAGGTCTATAATTGGAAACAATAGAGTGATCACCTTTCTTAAACAGAGGCATGACATATGCACTTTTCCACATATTTGGATACACACTATATTGCAATGATAAGTTGAACAGTAAACACAGGGGCTTGGATATGGAATAAACGGTATTCTTTAATAATTTATGACTTATTCTATCCGGCCCTGAAGCTTTGTTTAACTGTAAACATTTTATAACATCAGATACTTCCTTCTCAGAAATTACTATTTTATCTAACTGCATATTGGTCCTTGAGGGAAAATGTGGTAATGGTACATCTTTATCATTCAAACGGAATTTGATTTGAAATATGTATTAAGTTTTCAGCTTTTTCCAAATCAGAAAATAGCGTTGGAAATTCATCAACAACATTCTGCTTGAGAGGAGGAATATGCGAAGTAGAGCCCGAGTTTTTAACAATATAACGTAATAATTTCCAATATGAAGATTTATTTTCAGAGTATAATTCCAAAAGTAGGCCATTAATATTAGAGTAGAAGTTTTCTTTCGCATAACATTTCATGTTGTTTACTCTATTTCTCTGATGTTTATAAGCTTTTTTGTCGCTCTCTTTTTTTGTTTTCTTGGCCTTTCTCCGTAATCGGTCTCTTTTACGGTATTCCCTCCTCAAATTAGAGTCATACCATGGTTTGTCATTTGGACGAATAGTTACTATTTTTGAAGGAATACAAATGTATTTGAAGGAATACAGCTGGTTAAACAACCAGCTGTTGTGGATTGCTCATTGTTGTCTTACTGGATGATTGTTTTCAAAGATTCGTGGACATTATGAAAATACTATCTCAGCTGACCAATGAGACTTCATGCCAATGCTAAAAAACTGTAACAAAGTTACGAGACCAGTTGAGAAACTATCACAAGTTATACATATTGTACAATATTACGATAGATTGTTAGAGGGCATGTGATATGGAACACATTTCTTTGTCAACTGTAGGTGGATGGGATATTGTTCCTTTATGTCAGAGATATATGAGTTGTAATTTACTATATTTGCATTTTGTTTTCATTCATTTGTTATAACATGGAACAGAATTAGGTTATGTTACATTATCTTTGGGAATTTCCTCAATGCAAGACAGATAACACTAAATTGTTGTTTCACAAGCCTTTTTGTTGTAGGCCTGTATGTCTACAATATTCACTGAGGTAATTTATGAAATGCTTGGATATTACAGTCATTTCACAGATTCATAGGGACGGTGGGGTAGCCAAGTGGTTAAAGCCTTCGCTCGTCACACCGAAGGCCCAGGTTCGATTCTCCACATGGGTACAATGTGTGAAACCCATTTCCGGTGTCCATTGCTGTGATATTGCTGTAATATTGCTAAAAGCAGCCTAAAATCATACTCAGTCAGTCTCAAATTCACTGAAAAAAGAAATCTGCTTACAACTTTTATGAAGTTCAAAAGTGCATAAAAGCAATATAATGGATTAATTATGCTAGGATTATATGCCTAAAATATCAAGTACACTGAATTCTGTTTACTTTCAAACCTAACACTTTTAATCACTTGAGGATGAAATTAAACTTCAAAATAGTTTATATTGTTATGAAAATACACACTTGATGGCCTCGTTTTACAACCAGTTAGTAAAATAACTGAAACATTAATTGGTCACAAGCATGACCACATTTTCCAATCAATTTCAAGATGGAACTGTATTTTATCTTTGTTGATCAATGTGAGGATATGCCCTTAAGCCATGAATTGTGGTTACACAGGGTTTTGGAGCAGAGGTCGTGAACCAGTCAAGATTTCTGCGATATCATTCGGGTACCCACTGGAAAAAAAATTAACAAAAGCAACAACCAGCTCTGGGGAATTGCTGTAGATTCCCCTTTTAAGCTGTGCACAGATTCCCAGAGGCATTCATGTTCATCTTGGTTGTGCACAGATTCCCAGTGGCAGACATGTTAATTGGGCTGTGCACAGATATGCCGACAGAAGACATGTTCATCTGGACTGTGCACAGATTGCCAACAACAGACATGTTAATTTGGGCAAAGCACAGATTACCAACAACAGACATATTGATCTGGGTTGTGCACAGTTTGCCAACAGCAGACATGTTAATTTGGGCAAAGCACAGATTGCCAACAGCAGACATATTGATCTGGGCTGTGCACAGTTTGCCAACAGCAGACATATTGATCTGGGCCGGGCACAGATTACCGACAGCAGACATGTTCATCTGGGCTGTGCACAGATTCCCAGGGGCAGACATATTGAAAAGCTTCACTGTCACAACACTTTCACTCTGTTTAGATTCTGACTCAGAGGATGATGGCTACACCTGCATGGAGCTACCAACCCTCATCAGGCAGCTTAAATCTGTGCTGGACCAGTACCCTGATGATGGACAGATACTCAAGGTAGGTCTATGCTGGACTACCACCCTGATAATGGACAGATACTCAAGGTGAGTCTGTGCTGGACCAGTACCCTGATGATGGACAGATACTCAAGGTGAGTCTGTGCTGGACCAGTACCCTGATGATGGACAGATACTCAAGGTGAGTCTATGTTGGACCAGTGCCCTGATGATGGACAGATACTCAAGGTGAGTCTATGTTGGACCAGTGCCCTGATGATGGACAGATACTCAAGGTGAGTCTATGTTGGACTAGTGCCCTGATGATGGACAGATACTCAAGGTGAGTCTATGTTGGACTAGTGCCCTGATGATGGACAGATACTCAAGGTGAGTCTATGTTGGACTAGTGCCCTGATGATGGACAGACACTCAAGGTGAGTCTATGTTGGACTAGTGCCCTGATGATGGACAGATACTCAAGGTGAGTCTATGTTGGACTAGTGCCCTGATGATGGACAGACACTCAAGGTGAGTCTGTGCTGGACCAGTACCCTGATGATGGACAGATACTCAAGGTGAGTCTGTGCTGGACCAGTACCCTGATGATGGACAGATACTCAAGGTGAGTCTGTGCTGGACCAGTACCCTGATGATGGACAGATACTCAAGGTGAGTCTGTGCTGGACCAGTACCCTGATGATGAACAGACACTCAAGGTGAGTCTCCGTGGACCAGTACCCTGATGATGGACAGATACTAAAGGTGAGTCTGTGTTGGACCAGTACTCTGATGATGGACAGACACTCAAGGTGAGTCTGTGTTGGACCAGTACCCTGATGATGGACAGATACTCAAGGTGAGTCTGTGCTGGACCAGTACCCTGATGATGGACAGATACTCAAGGTGAGTCTGTGCTGGACCAGTACCCTGATGATGGACAGATACTCAAGGTGAGTCTGTGCTGGACCAGTACCCTGATGATGAACAGACACTCAAGGTGAGTCTGTGCTGGACCAGTACCCTGATGATGAACAGATACTAAAGGTGAGTCTGTGTTGGACCAGTACCCTGATGATGGACAGATACTCAAGGTGAGTCTGTGTTGGACCAGTACTCTGATGATGGACAGATACTCAAGGTGAGTCTGTGTTGGACCAGTACTCTGATGATGGACAGACACTCAAGGTGAGTCTGTGTTGGACCAGTACCCTGATGATGGACTGATACTCAAGGTGAGTCTGTGCTGGACCAGTACCCTGATGATGGACAGATACTCAAGGTGAGTCTGTGCTGGACCAGTACCCTGATGATGAACAGACACTCAACGTGAGTCTCCGTGGACCAGTACCCTGATGATGGACAGATACTAAAGGTGAGTCTGTGTTGGACCAGTACTCTGATGATGGACAGACACTCAAGGTGAGTCTGTGTTGGACCAGTACCCTGATGATGGACAGATACTCAAGGTGAGTCTGTGCTGGACCAGTACCCTGATGATGGACAGATACTCAAGGTGAGTCTGTGCTGGACCAGTACCCTGATGATGGACAGATACTCAAGGTGAGTCTGTGCTGGACCAGTACCCTGATGATGAACAGACACTCAAGGTGAGTCTGTGCTGGACCAGTACCCTGATGCTGAACAGACACTCAAGGTGAGTCTCCGTGGACCAGTACCCTAATGATGGACAGATACTAAAGGTGAGTCTGTGTTGGACCAGTACTCTGATGATGGACAGATACTCAAGGTGAGTCTGTGTTGGACCAGTACCCTGATGATGGACAGACACTCAAGGTGAGTCTGTGCTGGACCAGTACTCTGATGATGGACAGATACTCAAGGTGAGTCTGTGTTGGACCAGTACTCTGATGATGGACAGACACTCAAGGTGAGTCTGTGTTGGACCAGTACCCTGATGATGGACAGATACTCAAGGTGAGTCTCCGTGGACCAGTACCCTGATGATGGACAGATACTAAAGGTGAGTCTCTGTTGGACCAGTACTCTGATGATGGACAGACACTCAAGGTGAGTCTGTGTTGGACCAGTACCCTGATGATGGACAGATACTCAAGGTGAGTCTGTGCTGGACCAGTACCCTGATGATGGACAGATACTCAAGGTGAGTCTGTGCTGGACCAGTACCCTGATGATGGACAGATACTCAAGGTGAGTCTGTGCTGGACCAGTACCCTGATGATGAACAGACACTCAAGGTGAGTCTGTGCTGGACCAGTACCCTGATGATGAACAGACACTCAAGGTGAGTCTCCGTGGACCAGTACCCTGATGATGGACAGATACTAAAGGTGAGTCTGTGTTGGACCAGTACTCTGATGATGGACAGATACTCAAGGTGAGTCTGTGTTGGACCAGTACTCTGATGATGGACAGATACTCAAGGTGAGTCTGTGTTGGACCAGTACTCTGATGATGGACAGACACTCAAGGTGAGTCTGTGTTGGACCAGTACTCTGATGATGGACTGATACTCAAGGTGAGTCTGTGCTGGACCAGTACCCTGATGATGGACAGATACTCAAGGTGAGTCTGTGCTGGACCAGTACCCTGATGATGGACAGATACTCAAGGTGAGTCTGTGCTGGACCAGTACCCTGATGATGGATTTATACTTAAGGTGAGTCTGTGCTGGACCAGTACCCTGATGATGAACAGACACTCAAGGTGAGTCTCCGTGGACCAGTACCCTGATGATGGACAGATACTAAAGGTGAGTCTGTGTTGGACCAGTACTCTGATGATGGACAGACACTCAAGGTGAGTCTGTCTTGGACCAGTACCCTGATGATGGACAGATACTCAAGGTGAGTCTGTGCTGGACCAGTACCCTGATGATGGACAGATACTCAAGGTGAGTCTGTGCTGGACCAGTACCCTGATGATGGACAGATACTCAAGGTGAGTCTGTGCTGGACCAGTACCCTGATGATGAACAGACACTCAAGGTGAGTCTGTGCTGGACCAGTACCCTGATGATGAACAGACACTCAAGGTGAGTCTCCGTGGACCAGTACCCTGATGATGGACAGATACTAAAGGTGATTCTGTGTTGGACCAGTACTCTGATGATGGACAGATACTCAAGGTGAGTCTGTGTTGGACCAGTACGCTGATGATGGACAGACACTCAAGGTGAGTCTGTGTTGGACCAGTACTCTGATGATGGACAGATACTCAAGGTGAGTCTGTGTTGGACCAGTACTCTGATGATGGACAGACACTCAAGGTGAGTCTGTGTTGGACCAGTACCCTGATGATGGACAGATACTCAAGGTGAGTCTGTGCTGGACCAGTACCCTGATGATGGACAGATACTCAAGGTGAGTCTGTGCTGGACCAGGACCCTCAAGGTAGGTGCGTGTTGGACCAGCTGGACCAGTGGCTAGATCTTGTAGGAAAAAGAGTCAATGACTGCCCTGTTTTAAGTTGATTTTGAATTCCATACCATTATTAATTAAATGTGACAAGAATCATATTATGACAATCAGTAAAGTGAAACAAGTTGATCAACAAACATATATAGAATCAAATTCAATACCTTGATATGGTGTGTCTGATCATAGTTTTTTATCAATGGCCATTGTTTAAATTCACATACCTGAAGCTTTTGTCTTCAACAGGAGCTGATCCAGAATGCTGAAGATGCAGATGCCACTGAGATGCGAATTCTGTATGACGCACGAGATATCCAGCCTGATGTTGATCCAAGGCTCCGCAAGAAGAGGCAGTACCTGGCCTCATTACAGGTTTCTATAGGCCATTATCTTAACAAACAAAATGTCTGACCCCATTATTTTTACACATAAACTGATAGATCAAGTGAGCTAATGTTGTGTGTAACAGAATATATCAGAATATATCAGAATATATCTGCTAACATGTCAGCTTATTAAGCATGATGAAATCTATTTCAGAGTGTACCTAATGCAGGAAAACTCATGCTGACCCATCGGTTAGCCAAGCCAAGCTCTACAGTAGTTCTACTGGCAATGAAGTCGTGCCAGCATATTTTTTAGTCATTAAAATGTCATCTGAGTATTGAGTATGCTTGGTTCATTTGTAAAAAGTAACTGTTTCTTAAAAGTGTCATGCCAAAGGCCCAAATTTGATTCCCCACATGGGTACAATGTGTGAAACCTATTTCTGGTGTCCATGGATGATATATTGCTGGGACATGGCAAAAAGTGGCATAAAAACTGTGTATGTGAACTGCTGCCTAATGTTCACAAGCAATGTACGATGCTACGTTTCAGGCCCCAGACGTATGTATGTACTATGCCTCGTTTCAGGCCCCAGCCGTGTATATTATCTATGCCTTGTTTCAGGCCCCAGCCGTGTATAGGATCTGTGTCTTGTTTCAGGCCCTAGCCGTGTATATGATCTATGCCTTGTTTCAGGCCCAAATGTTCACAAGTAATCTACTGTACTTTGTTTTAAGCCCGAAATGTTCACAAGTACTGTACTGTGCTGTGTTTCAGGCCCCAAATGTTCACAAGTACTGTACTGTGCTGTGTTTCAGGCCCCAAATGTTCACAAGTACTGTACTGTATTGTGTTTCAGGCCCCAAATGTTCACAAGTACTGTACTGTGCTGTGTTTCAGGCCCCAAATGTTCACAAGTACTGTACTGTGCTGTGTTTTAGGCCCCAAATGTTCATAAGTACTGTACTGTATTGTGTTTCAGGCCCCAAATGTTCACAAGTACTGTACTGTGCTGTGTTTCAGGCCCCAAATGTTCACAAGTACTGTACTGTATTGTGTTTCAGGCCCCAAATGTTCATAAGTACTGTACTGTGCTGTGTTTCAGGCCCCAAATGTTCACAAGTACTGTCCTGTGCTGTGTTTCAGGCCCCAAATGTTCACAAGTACTGTACTGTGCTGTGTTTCAGGCCCCAAATGTTCACAAGTACTGTCCTGTGCTGTGTTTCAGGCCCCAAATGTTCACAAGTACTGTCCTGTGCTGTGTTTCAGGCCCCAAATGTTCACAAGTACTGTACTGTGCTGTGTTTCAGGCTCCAAATGTTCACAAGTACTGTACTGTGCTGTGTTTCAGGCCCCAAATGTTCACAAGTACTGTACTGTGCTGTGTTTCAGGCCCCAAATGTTCACAAGTACTGTCCTGTGCTGTGTTTCAGGCTCCAGCCCTATGTGTGTACAACAATGCCTTGTTCACAGAAAAGGACTGGTGTGGAATCAAGATGTTACACAACAGTGTAAAGGAGGAGGAACCACTCAAAGTTGGACGCTTTGGGTTAGGGTTTAAGTCCGTGTTCCATGTAACAGGTGAGTCTGCCATATGTAGCTCCTTGTCTTCATAAACTAATGAAGGTAATATGAGCAATAACAACTGATAGAAGTATACACAATATGTGTTTGTGATGTGTCATGTATGAGCAATAACAACTGATAGAAGTATACACAATATGTGTTTGTGATGTGTCATGCATGAGCTATAACAACTGATAGAAGTATACACAATATGTGTTTGTGATGTGTCATGTATGACCAATAACAACTGATAGAAGTATAAACAAAATGTGTTTGTGATGTGTCATGTATGAGCAATAACAACTGATAGATGCACAATATGTGTTTGTGATGTGTCATGTATGAGCAATAACAACTGATAGAAGTATACACAAAATGTGTTTGTGATGTGTCATGTATGACCAATAACAACTGATAGAAGTATACACAATATATGTTTGTGATGTGTCATGTATGAGCTATAACAACTGATAGAAGTATACACAATATGTGTTTGTGATGTGTCATGCATGAGCTATAACAACTGATAGAAGTATACACAATATGTGTTTGTGATGTGTCATGTATGAGCAATAACAACTGATAGAAGTATACACAATATGTGTTTGTGATGTGTCATGCATGAGCTATAACAACTGATAGAAGTATACACAATATGTGTTTGTGATGTGTCATGTATGAGCAATAACAACTGATAGAAGCATGCACAATATGTGTTTGTGATGTGTCATGTATGAGCAATAACAACTGATAGAAGTATACACAATATGTGTTTGTGATGTGTCATGTATGAGCAATAACAACTGATAGAAGTATACACAATATATGTTTGTGATGTGTCATGTATGAGCTATAACAACTGATAGAAGTATACACAATATGTGTTTGTGATGTGTCATGCATGAGCTATAACAACTGATAGAAGTATACACAATATGTGTTTGTGATGTGTCATGTATGAGCAATAACAACTGATAGAAGTATACACAATATATGTTTGTGATGTGTCATGTATGAGCTATAACAACTGATAGAAGTATACACAATATGTGTTTGTGATGTGTCATGCATGAGCTATAACAACTGATAGAAGTATACACAATATGTGTTTGTGATGTGTCATGTATGAGCAATAACAACTGATAGAAGTATACACAATATGTGTTTGTGATGTGTCATGCATGAGCTATAACAACTGATAGAAGTATACACAATATGTGTTTGTGATGTGTCATGTATGAGCAATAACAACTGATAGAAGCATGCACAATATGTGTTTGTGATGTGTCATGTATGAGCAATAACAACTGATAGAAGTATACACAATATGTGTTTGTGATGTGTCATGCATGAGCTATAACAACTGATAGAAGTATACACAATATGTGTTTGTGATGTGTCATGTATGAGCAATAACAACTGATAGAAGTATACACAATATATGTTTGTGATGTGTCATGTATGACCAATAACAACTGATAGAAGTATACACAATATCTGTTTGTGATGTGTCATGTATGAGCAATAACAACTGATAGAAGTATACACAATATATGTTTGTGATGTGTCATGCATGAGCTATAACAACTGATAGAAGCATGCACAATATCTGTTTGTGATGTGTCATGTATGAGCAATAACAACTGATAGAAGTATACACAATATCTGTTTGTGATGTGTCATGTATGAGCTATAACAACTGATAGAAGCATGCACAATATGTGTTTGTGATGTGTCATGTATGAGCAATAACAACTGATAGAAGTATACACAATATGTGTTTGTGATGTGTCATGTATGAGCAATAACAACTGATAGAAGTATACACAATATGTGTTTGTGATGTGTCATGTATGACCAATAACAACTGATAGATGCACAATATGTGTTTGTGATGTGAGTGTCATGTAGCTATTATGATAAGGGGTCCAAGTGATTGTTCCGGTGAAACACCTTATCTAACTGGCGTGCTGGTCTGCTTGGGGGAATTAACTCAGCAAAAGAGTCCGAAGTCACAAGAAGCTAATCACACTTTTATTTACAAGAACGGAGTAACATGGGGTGGCCACAGAGAGTCGGTACAACCCTCTGGGCTGAGGGCTAGAGCTGACCTGTGTTGGGAGTCTAAACCCTACTGATGGACAAATGAACATAGAGACATTTTATCTACAATTAAAACAATAAAGAGATTATGATTGGTTGACTGATACAAAAAATGGGTGTAACCTACATTAGCCTATCAAATACAGAATATACTAAATGGGGTGGGTCCTTCAATGACCAGACAGGGCAATCACTCTTAATCCTTGTTAATCCTAGTTTAACTGGCACTAATCTCGATGGCACTTTTACTGGATGCTTGGATGCTTACCCTGGGCTACAGATCTCAATGAGCCTAATCTGATGTGTCAATTACAGGTGCTTGGATTACAATAGATGCATTTAATCGTCTGGTCATAACTCTGAATTATGAAAGGGTTGCTAACAGCTTGAGTCCTCAATACCTTAGGCTAGGATTTTATCTTGGATATCTGTGAAATTGTGTAGCCGTAATTTATACCTTTTTCAATAGTATGTCTGTGAGATGAGTTTTACAACTTTTGACTGGAGTCTTTCTCTAAGCTATTACTAATATTCTATATTTATATTTTCCTAATATCTGAATCCTAATATATTGCTTGTAGTGGTAATAATGAATAATGAATTTTGTATGAATTGTTATCCCATGATATAGCAGCCTACGAACTTCTGATGAAATCAGCTTCAACTTGTGGCAGACATTCCTACTCCATTTTGTTAAAGTGAGTTTGAGTTTGTTCACATCAAACATCACCTTGTGCAATCACTATAATCTAGCAAAAATACCAATAATAATAACAGTCACATTAGAAACATACAGTAAACTATTGAAATCTACTAAACCTTGGATGCCTGTGCCTATAAGAACAACACAATATTAGAACAGATAAAAATGGTGAGTAGGTACTAGAGGGCTACTTACCTGCTGGTTAATTTCAAGAAAAAACTACAGTTGCCATTCAGTGATTAGCCTAAGGCAAACTTCAGTGCTCGGCAAGAGAAAACGACTTTGTCAGTGGAGACCTCAAATTTGCAATTAAATATCACTAGACAAGATTATTTACCTTTTTAGTTTAATTTTGTTTTGCTAGGCATAGTATTATATGCAGGGATTAAGATTACTGTATATTTGTTTGTCCCCTAATGCGGAAATCATAAGCAATCAGCTGTGGACACATTCCCCCGATCTACCTGTGATTCAGTTAAAACCAATGATATACCGAAATGAATTCTGAAGCAGTGATTGGAAAAAATATAGTATCTGAAACTATTATTTTACCAAGAGAAACATTACAGAATTGTGTAATTTTAATTGCAGGTTTCCTTCTATAAATGTAAAATATTTATAATCATAACTAAGCTTGTGCGGTGTATTACCGGATAGTTTATATGCATGGGACAGTCTGACCTGTCAACAGTATGTTGACATGTTTGATCGTCCAGCTACAACAAATATCACAATTAGTGAAAACAAATATATATGTACACATCTATTTTCTATCAACTACACTTCATTCCGAGGCATGTGTAGATGCTATATGATTGCGACTGCTGTGAATAATTCGGACCGAGTTATAGGTATCAGTGGACCACATGATTTCACCACAGTTATTATTGAATGACATTTTGGGTAAAATTAATAAACTACATTTAAAAAAAGTCCAAATATGCAAAGAACATGTTTTATTACAAGATAGTGTTATCCCAATTCTGATTTGTTGACACTTTATAGACCGCACAGGACACACAGAGCTTACAGATCACAGGAGCACTCATTTCAACTCAGACCATAGAGTCTGTTCTCAGTGCGGCTGACCAGTCAGCAGGATGCACAGCTCAGATTGTACACTGACTTCTACTGATATCTTGACTTAAGATGCTGCCGCCATCATATTGTATGATAGAATTGGAGCTGTCATTAGGCTATCCGCTTAAACCCTCGAAATTCAACTCAGCCAGGTACAGTCCTTCGCCAATAAGGTCGCGAGCCCCTGGAGTTTGTTTCCTGACTCCATACCACCAATGACAGATCATGAAGAATATGCGATTCCAAGTTCTGAAGCTCCATTATTTAAGACCATGCATGGAAACTTAAGTTAGCAGTCTTCATTTACAGCCCATGATACTTATGGATCGTGAACCATGTAAAGTATCAACTCTTTGAAGTATCCGGTCATCTGGGATGCTCACATTACATGTGAAGACTCATATACAGATGACAACCAAGAGAGTTACTGTTTGAAATCTCCGTTACTGGACAGGCATTTCCAGTGATTTGCTGTAAAAGTTTGTATGATTGATAAACATCATTCAAGGGCTCAACTATTTGTATATTTCTGATGTGAGAAAGATGCTTCACAGAGGTTGATGCTGCTGAAGACCTGTCTTCTGTGAAGTTGGAGATTGCCGGCAACACATCCCAAATGGTACACGGGTAGTTAGATAGGGACCCCCCAAAATATGTATGCCCATTTCCTATTACATGCTTTTTAAATATAGGGTAGGTGGGTCGGTTTTATCTTTTTGTTTTTACTTTTTTTTAGTAGTACCAGGTGGGCACCTGAGAATGTCTTCAAGGATACCATCATCATGTTGTCAGAATGTATTTGTGATGAGTTCATTTGGTAGTTTCTATACCAACTATCATTATTTATGTTATATTATTTGTCGGTTTGTCGGTGAGAGCCCATTTAATTACGTCCATTTTAGCCCTACATGCACGAAAAACGCTGAAATACTGGGTTTGGTTTAGAAATATTCGAGAGTTGAAATGCATGATTTTTGACTTACTTGGTTAAAAATAGATTTAGAGATTGGTGCTGGGTTAGGATTAGGGTGATGGGGTTACCGAGGAAGTGATGACTTTGTACGGGGGGTTGCCTAGCATGAGCGAATGTTGACTCACCAGACCGTTGGTGGAGTTGGGATATTAATAC